ACAGATGTCTTGTACGAAATAGCACCCCCAGCTTTTGGGAGGCTTTGTTGAAAACAGAGCTGCTTGGGTTTTCTGCGCGTTGAACTGTACAAGGTTTTTGTTACCCCAGTCCTCTATCATCTCCAGGTCGTTATTTATCTGCGATATTTGAGTTAGTCTAAGATGATGGAATTCACGTGCGGAAAGACCTGTGGGTGGTATGAGTGAGGAGACTACATTGCCATCGTCTGCAAAGCAATAAAGTGGATTCACTGTTTTATCTATGAGGTCATTTATGTAAATCAGGAAAAGAGTTGGCGAAAGGATTGCTCCCTGTGGCACACCAGCATTTATTTGGTAAGAGTTGGAGTTCTGGCCAGCCAGTGCAACATAAATGGATCTGTCCTTTAGGTAACTTTCAAACCAAATGCAAAGTTTCGGCGATAATCCCATTGCTTTGAGCTTGTTGAGCAGATTTTCATGCCAAACTTTGTCGAATGCTTTAGATATATCTAAGGCAATTGTTCTTGTTTCACCCCGCAACTCAATCGCTTTTTTCCATAAGTGAGTGACGTATGTAAGTAAATCGCCAGTTGACCTATATTTTCGAAATCCGTATTGCTTATCGTTGATAATTTTGTACTTTTCCAAGTACTTGGTTAGGTGATTGTTCACAACTCTTTCCATTACTTTTGATATCACCGGAAGTAGAGCAATTGGTCTATAGTTTAACGGATCTGTCTTTTTTCCTTTCTTTGGAATGGGTTGTACTGCGGCAGACTTCCATGATGATGGATATACTCCTTGCCTGTAAGACAAATTGAATAATTTTGCGAAAGTTGGGGTGAGTTCATTCTGTTACAGTTTCCTATATCCTAATACATGCACCACCAATTTGGGACACACTGTATACATGGCGCGGCACGGACAACCTCTAACTCAGGTGATTATACAGGGTGTTCCTAAATATCATGTACAAATGGAAGGGGGTGATTCGTTGGTTTATTTTATGACTAAAATTTCTAATAAACATAGGTCCGCAAACGCTTCATTACCGATCTACAGGGTGTTGAAATTTTAATGAGTTCATATTGAAAATGAGCAAGAATATGGCGGCGAGGGGTGTTTTACTTCTAGATTCCCATTGAAAATAAGCAAGAATATGGCTGCGGGACCTCTATTGTCGCCACTGTAGGTAGAAAAGGTTTATTGAGTCACTTTAGTTTCATCTGGCTAACTACAGAGATTTGTTTTTTAATTTTTTTCTCGATAAGGGTCGGTGATACGAAAAAACTACAGGATAACAAAAAGTTTCTAAATAGGGCAAAAAAGTTACTTTATTTCTTAGAATCGACCAGCGGCGCACCGCGAACAACTTCAGGGGCAGAAAAGGGGGCATGACCCCTAAAAAAACATCATTCTGTAGATTCTGGCAAACGTGTTTGATATGTGCAATCATTCAGCTTCTATTGCGTAACCTATATTCCAAATTTGAGCTAAATCCCGCAAAAATTGTAGGAACTATAAAGAAAAAACTTTAAGAAAAAATAAAATCTCAACACCCTGTAGATCGGTTACAAAGCGATTGCGGACCCATGTTTATTAGAAATTTTAGTCATAAAATTAACCAAAGAATCACCCCCTTTCGTTTGTACATGGTATTCAGGAACACCCTGTGTTTATGTATCACCTTACACACGAGAGAACCTGGGTGGGTAGTTTTTCGTGCCCCACAATGTAGGTATATACAGGGTGTACCATTTAAAAGGAAACAGGCAAATATCTGATGCCACGTTTATTTCTGTAAAAATAGCTCGTATACAGGAAATTTGATTTTCAAAGGGAGAAGTTTTCTGCAATCATTTTCAGTACTTCAACTTTAACCCTCTAGGCGGGGTGGGACTAACCCTTACTAGTTCAAATGGAACAAGGGGTCGAGTGATACCTCCTTTAAAAGAGCGTTCAATTCTCTTTCATTTGATGTCATTTGAAAGAAAATTTAAATTTATTTATTTAAAACAGGTATCACTCGACCCCCTTTTCCATTTGGAATAGTAAGGGTTGATGCCACCGCCCCTAGAGGGTAAAGTTAGTGCTGATAATGTTTCAAACGCTAGGTATATCCTGTATATAAAAGATCAGTCGACATATTGGTCGGCGGCAGTGGCGTAGCATGGGCTATCGCAGAATTTCGCTCGCTGAGAAAACTTCAAAAATCAATAAACATCACAGATGCTTGACAATTAGCCTATTCAAAACACGTGACTTTGACAAGCAAACAAAGGGTATGTGCAAGGAGAATACACACTTATCGGCCCCGTTTTTAGTAATCGCCGCCATATTGGTTTTCAACCATTGCCGACGTCATAACTAAGTAGTCAGCTGTTTAAACAGCCTACGTCAAGGCGAGAAACGCCATGCTACTTACGTCACAACTAATTGTTTGGCTTCGAGGGGTAGGGGAGGATCTGTTACACACAAGCCTTATGAGGATAGGCCATTTTGTAGTAGTAGTGTGTATCATCTTTGGGGTGTGTGCCTCTTGGCGGACATTTTAATTTAAGTTTGACAGCACCTTGGATAGTCAGAGCTCATTGGTCAGAGCCTATTCAAAACACCTGACTTTGACAAGCAAACAAAAGGCTTATGTGCTTCTGGGCGGACGTTTTCATATAAGTTTGACAGCATCTTGGATAGTCTAATTGCCGCTATATTGAATCCTGGCATTTGTGGTTTGGATCAAGGTTGTTTAAAAGAGGTAAGTTGCCTGGTGGGCAGGGACCCGGACCGGAACGATATTGGACCGAAAACCGGAACGAAACTGTTTTTTTTTTTTGCGGACCGGAACCGGAACGAAACCCATATTTCATAGAAATGTTGTAGGGCAGGCGAAACCGGAACCGATATAAATTAATCGGTTCTTACCGGTATTTTTCGGTTCCAAGATTTTATAAATTAAGCTGTTTGCTGTTTGGTTGTATCATAATAAAATTTACACTTTAAAAAACAGAGCGTTGGACATTGAGCGCGCATTTCTGAACTCGGCTAGACTACACACCAAGGATTTTACATACTACTACAGGATTGCTCATCGGCTTCGATTTTTAGAATCAAGTTCATATGTTGTTGAACCGTTGGCGACGTCATCAACGGCCTCGTTAGCGGTTTGCGTTCGTAGTTAAAAATATACGTGTATGATGAAAAATATAATTTAAACTTGATTAACAAATAGTCAATAGACAAGAGGAAGATGCAAATGAGATCTAAACAAGGGTTGTTTTAGAATATTAAATAATGTACTATGGTTCTAAACCGTTTCGAAATACAATCCAATCCACGTTTTAAAACCATTTCCACGTGCCGAGAAATTATGACGTCATTGTGAAACTGATTTGAACCAGTTTTGGAAAATGTTTCAAAACTTTGAGACGCGAGAAAACACCTCCTAATCCGTGGCGCAAACTGGTGCAAGCGCTACGTCAAGGCGAGAAACGATACGCTGTTACGTCATCACTGATCGAAAACACAAAAATTTATTTTACATAAATTTTTCGGAAAAAGGGATGCTTCTTGAAATGGTCAGTGCAAATGGCCATTAGATATTTGTGAAAAACTATACCGGTATGAACCGTTAAAACCGAAATTATTGGTCCGAGCTGAATCGAAATATTTCTCTTGGAACCGAAACCGTAACGGAACCGATATTCGTCAGGACGCTGTGGATCGGAACCGGAACGGAACCGATATTTCATTTCGGTCCGGGTCCCTGCTGGTGGAATTCTCAATCTGTTGATACGTAAGGTCCCGACCACTTGTAGAAAAGCGATGCGGATAGTCGGGACAATAGGTTGTGACAAGAGGTTGAGAATCCCGTCTCTAATAAGTTTCATGACGTCATATATGTATGCCTAAATATAATGCAAATGCAAGGTTCCTACCTAAAGTTAACAGCTTGTCTGATAACAAGGTTGTTTGAGAGAGGTGGGTTGACTGATAACTTTATGACGTCATCTGTATGCCTCGAACATAATGCAAATCTTCATATGGTACCCCAGATGTGTCATCAAGTTACCCATTACCAGGTAACCTATTGACTTTAGGAACCTTGGTCTGGTAATCGGTAACTTAATGTCGCATCTGGAGTGCCTTATGGAGATTTGCATTATGTTCAGGTATACATATGACGTCATGAAAGTTATCTCTCTCAAACAACCTTGATGCAAATATCCAAAAAAAAACCACCTGATGGCGTTTTCTGTTTGCCATTGCCAGACAACCTATTACAAGCAATTACTATTTTGCCAGTCATATCGGCAACGTCGCCGGAATTTATTCTAGGGGGAGTCGCGATTGAATCTTAATCGCGCTATCTCTCTCTCTCGCACTGCTGACTGTTTTTTTTTTTTTCTTGCTTGGCTGAACTCGACTCGAGCCGACTGTATCCGACCGAATGAGCGTTAACAATTTGTTTTGTTTTGCTAAACGCGCCTAAAGAAGTTTTCACTTCAATAATGATGTTGGTTACAGTCAAATCTTAAAGGGTACAAGATGCGGCAATTTTGCCGCCCTCCCAAAAGTGGCGCCCGAGGCGGTGCGCCCCCCCCCCCCCTCGCTACGCCACTGGTCGGCGGATACCTGGCCGACCAATGGGATTTTGGTTGAATTTGACCGCGGTCAGGAATCCGATAAGTGTGCACGGTCCTTTGATATCAATATTCCTGCGAGTAGAGTAGGTATAATATACGAACCTATGTGTTGACGCAATAGACTCCCCCGTTTGATGGAGATCCATCAATATTAGGGATCCTCATTATCATAAGCCTGCTGATATCGAATCTGTAATCTTACAGAATCAAATTTCTGTCACCTGTGATCAAAAACTAGATATGATATGTATATATTTAATTTTCACAAACCTAACTTGGACCCAGCAAAAATATCTAAACTTTGCAACGCCTATACTGTAACCAGTGTGCCTATATCTTGTGCCACTTCTTATAATGTTTATTTTACTCCTTTAGATTGAAAGAGGAAACATTTTGGTCAGCTCAAGACAATGACAAGTTGTCTCAGGAAAAAGAAAAGAGTCCTTGTCATAGTTTAGAAAGTTTACAATCCAAAATTACTGTTCAAAAATCGAGTCAATTTATAGAAGAGGATAAAAAAGACCAAGAAGAAATGACACTCCTAAAACAAGAAAAGAAACAACTAGAAGAGGAACTAGCAAAAATCAAAAGCGAAAAGGAAGCACTTACGACATCTGTAGCCCTTCATGAAGGTAAAAACTTTATACCTAATTAAGTAGCATTTATCCAAAAGCAGATAAATCCACTTTTGCCATCAAATTGAAAAAAATACATTCCTGAGATGTTTTTATTAGAATCTTCAACTCTTCACCCAAAAATCACCTTTTATCAAAATTTTATCCAAAAAGAAAACTCTTGTTTATAACATAAAAGCATGTAACTAATAGGCAATAGCTGCGAGAGTAAGAGATTCTGTATTTTTCAAATATCACATTCAAACCGGATCCAAATACAGCCTATGTTTGCTTACATAGTCAGATTTTTAACTAATTACATAATATGAAAATAGGAAAACTAGATGCTACTACAAGTCCCTTAGCCTTGTCTCCACCCACATCGGACCTCTCTAGAAGTGAAATAGTATCCAGCAGCAGACCACACAGGCTCAATATCGACAGCTGTAAAATAGGCGACATTGTTTTGCTACTATGGGATCCTGCCCATGAGAATTATAAAGTTTTACAGGAATCCAAGCATACCTATTTTCTGCATTCAGATTCTATTGATAAATTGGGTTTATCCATTACTGATAGTATACCCAATAAACTTTACTGTACTGGGGAAGTAGTGGATAAAGAGTATTGCCAAACTAGAAAGGTAATTTAAACTTGTTTCAGTTTCTTGTATTGATTCATTAATTTACAGAGCGAAAATCGTTATAAAGTACCAAAAGGAGCCAAATTCTTTCGAGTAAAAGTTAAACCAATTGTTGCACTTCGTGACTCAAAAGATCTTATTCAATCTTCATATTCAACTCGTCAATCTACGTCGATGTCAACTAGTCAATCAGTGATTGCCACTTTTGATCCTTTAATAGAAGAACCTCGAGCTTCTACGAGTGTTACCATACCAGAGGAAGAATTAGGTGCAAATAAACATTTTGTAGAAGATAGCGGTATCGAGGAAGCTACTGTTGCAATAGAACACAGTGATCGGTAGGTTTAAGTTAGTTGAATTTTGTTTTTTTTTTATAGTTTTATGTTGAAATTTAGTCACTAGGAATAAGGAAGAATATTTAATCAGGAAGTGTGCGGAGTGAAGAGTTATTATTTATGTGATTTTGTTGTCTTCAGGGCTTGCCAGTCTTTTGCTTATTCTGGCTTTATTTTTTTTAAAACTTTTTGTTTTGGTTTTGCCACCAGGTTTGAGGCTGACGAGTGTAAAGAAGTCGTTGAACAAAGCACAAATTGGTTAGAAGCAATGTTTCGGAGCATGTTTAGCAAATAAGTTATTTAAAGTATGTATGTACTTAGGTTGACTGTTTGGCTTTATTTCAGCTTATTTTTTTTTTTGTGGCTAACTAACTTTCTAATTTGTACTTGCTAGTGATAGCCCAGGAAGTAAAGGTTTACTATGCAAACTCGATGGTAGTCGGGTATTATTCCTTTTCTTATAGTTTTTGGGGTGCTGATTTTTTCAAGCCCTTAAAGGGGGTAGTTTTTGTTTTTTGCAAACGTAGCCTTTCCGGTGCAAACTTTATGGTAAATTATAGAGAACTATATTGTCACAACTTTGTCCTGTCGTGACGGAGTACGTACCGTAGGGTCAGGAGGATAGAGACTCGCTTGGTATTTAGTTTAAGGTTATAATAGTAATTACCAAAGGATGGCCCTATAATACATAATGCCTCTTTTATATGGGGCACAGGGGAGCTACCTGAAAAACACAAGGCTATGTTAGGAGTGATTCGCTAAATGCGGTGTTGGCAGATTTCAGCAACTAGTAGAGATAGAATTCTGAAAATTTGGAATCTTATCAAATTTGGCACTCCCAATTCATTGCAATAAAAATAAATTGGGCATTCTATTTAACATAACAAAAAGACTACGGGTAGCGCAAAACTGAGAAATCTGGCAACATTTCCGATAGCACTGTGCGAACGCATGCCCAAAAACTGTCAGATTTCGAATTGTGTGAACGTGACTTAACGGTTTTGAAGATATTTAAGTGTTGCAGTACTTTCTACTAATGTATATGTTTGCCTACAGCCTACTAAAACAGCTTATCGAATGTAATACCACAAGAGGTTCCAGGATTAGGTACCGGATAATACTTGGTCTTGCTGGTAACATGTTAAGTGTCAGGTGAAAGTATTAGATAATCCTGAAACATCGAGTGGTATTCAAAAGGTTATACAACGAACTAAACTTTAATACGCTGTATATCATTCCCATATGACACGAGAGGCTTAAAAAGTGATAAGCCTTTTGGGATTATCGCGCTTGATGGGAATATTTATAGCAAATTCTATTATAGAAAAAGTTTTGTTTCATCTCTTGCCACCACGCGCGAACAGTGAGTTGTATAATCACAATAATATATGTATTTTGTTAATGAACATCTCTTCAGAAACTACCCTTATCTCAGAAAGTAGCTGTATTTCAAAAATGCGCTATTGCCCGTTTATGAAAAAAAAAAAACCAAAAAATCACTTATACATCTATGATGAGTAATGATTAGTCACAGCTTTCCAGGTCGATTCGCATTTGTAATGACGGGAAAAAAAAAATTTGCAGAAGCATGTTTTTTCAAAAGTTGTCACCTTTGGGGCGCCACCTTCGCTAAAGGGTAGGTGATGCACATATGCTGCCGCTGAAGAGATTGTAGGGAATATAGTCGTCTATACTTCATCGTAATGGTTTTTCTGTGTAAGACGCTGCGGAAAGGCTACATTTGCGAAAAACCAAAAACTACCCCCTTCAGGGGCTTGAAACGAGATTATCCGGGTGAATTTTTCTTGTGAATATGGCGCATTTGTAATCAGCACCCCAAAATCTATAAGAAAAAAAATAAAACCCGAATACCATTCAGTTTGCGTAGTATAACCTTTGTTTCCTGGGATATAAGTAGTGCGATCTTTTTTTTTTAATTTATTTTTTTCTTCTAAAATTCTTTCTAGGTAGTTTGCTGCTTTATTATTATCTCTTGGCAAGCCTCTACTCTAAGGTGATAATATTATTTAAAATAAGACATAAATTGAAAAAAAAAAAAAAAATGGTTTTGTGATATTAAATGCCTTTTTTGAACTGTGTATCAAAACGAGATAGGGTTGTGTTTTAAAAAAACAACACGAGGACTATTTTTTTTTTGTATATCAATTGAAAAAACCTATATTAGGTGTGTTAATTATTGTAAATGACCATAATACAATTAAACATTAAACACTTTCATCGGCTTGTTAATAATTTTAAGGATATTTTTATTACATTTTAGTACCTGTGCATAAATAGATATCGTCATTTTTATATGTTGCGAACATAAGAATAATAAAGAATTCGTAATAATCATTTAAGCATTTTATTTGTAAAAGCAGTACCTAAAAAAACATGTATTCTAAAAAATATTGCAGCTTCAAGGAACAAAACAAACGACTTTTTTGTATTATTTGAATCCACTGATTGTCCTGGCAAAATAACCCTGGTTGCACCCTAGAAGAGTTTTCAAGGATCGCTAATTCTAGTGCCACAAAGGTTGTAGGTTGTTTATGCTCCAATTTGGATAAAGGGCCACACTTTAAGGCCATCAATTCTGTGGTTATACCGTTATACTTCTATTAAATAAACAAATAAATAAATGTTTATTTACGGACTTGCCACTTTCAAATGAGTACCTACATAGTTCAAATTGATGAAAAAATAATTAGGATACATAAAAATATAAATGGATAAAAGACAATCACAGTGTTGACAGTAAAAAATGAGAAAAAAAAAAACAGAAAAATAAAAATATCAGTTTCAGTATGGGATCATACATAAAAAAAACATCAATCAACAACAATAGAAATCACAGTTTAAAACAATTTTCCTTACCTAACCACTATACTAAAAGTATCAAGAAGACAAAAAAAAAGAAATGAATGAAAATTAGATTTAAATCCAGTTTAGGTAAATTCATCCATCAAGTCCTACTCTAGTTCAAGCAGACTTTTTTTTTAAGCGTATTGCAACCTATGTTGAAAAAATCAATATCAAGCTCATTTATTACCCTATTGGCCCACATTACACATTCTACATATTATCCATCCATTCACAATCCGATGTCCATAGGTACAGGTAAAATTTATCACCTTTCAATGCTATTTGATAGGGAAAGGTGATAAATTTACCTGTACCTGTGGACATCGGATTGTGAGTAGGATATATACAGGGTGTCCCACGGTGGATGGCGTATTAGACGTTTATGCAAAACTAAAAAGCGGATCATTTTGAAAATTTGGCAACCGGGATAAATGACCGTGATCTACACTTTAAAAATATTTTTGTTTATGCGGTGTTGCCGCTTCTACTCTAAACCAGTGGCAACATCACTATTTTAAATGAAACACCCCGTATTTAATTGCATATTTGGATTCTACATAAAATACTGAGCAGATTTCACGTGATATACCCTATACCTAAGTTCAACTGTTTTGGAAATATTGACAGTTGAAAATTGACTTTTTGCAACTTTGACAGGCTGTAAAACCTGAACTGTTAATTTTAGAGAAAAACCGATTTTACATTCCTATCTTAGATTTTTATAAACTATCATTTGACACCAATTTTGAATTTAATCCGTGATTAAAAAATCCAATTAAATTTAATCTCCGGTTAAATTCAAAGTTGGTGTCAAATGATAGTTTACGAAAATCTAAGATAGGAATGTAAGATCGGTTTTCCTCTGAAATTAACCGTTTAGGTTTTACAGCCTGTCAAAGTTGCAAAAAGTCAATTTTCAACTGTCAATATTTCCAAAACAGTTGAACTTAGGTATAGGGTATATCACATAAAATCTGCTCAGAATTTTACGTAGAATCCAAATATGCAATCACATACAGGGTGTTTCATTTAAAATAGCGATGTTGCCACTGGTTTAGAATAGAAGCGGCAACACCGCATAAACAAAAATATTTTTAAAGTGTAGATTATGGTCGTTTATCCCGGTTGCCAAATTTTCAAAATGATCCGCTTTTCAGTTCTCTATAAACGTCTAATACGCCATCCACCGTGGGACACCCTGTATAGGACTATTCAAACCTTAGTTAGTCCTATGAAAATCTATACCAAAAATCTCATTTTGTCTAGTTACTCTCCGAGGAACTTTTTCCAATAGCTCAGGACAATTGATTATGTCATTACAGATTTTATGAAGAGTACATATCAAACTGTGTTCTTCTAGACCTCAATGTTTGTAAATTGAAAAGTTTATAGAGTTCACCATAGTTTATATCATCAATTGGAATGCCCATCTTAACATTAATAAGTCTTAAGAATTTTCTTTGAATTTTTTCTAAGTCATTTAAGTATATAAGTGTTACAAAATGGAGACCAAACTGAACATGCATATTCCAGACCTGATCTAACATAACTACAATACAGACTGATGTGAAGTTAGCAGCCAAAAGTTAGCGGCCATTTTCCCGAAGATTGCCGAACGACCAGTGGCGTCGGATAATAATTTAATTTGATCAATTTCAAATATTCCAGTGCACATCAGTTAGAAATAGTTAATAATAAATAATAATATATTTTTTTTACTACTAACCTGAGAAATAGACATTATTCAATCTATTTTTCTAAGAAAAAATTGAATTTCTCTCCCTAGGTTAATAATGAAAATAATGAAAAAATACCTAGGTCAATAATGAAAATGACGTCATGACGCAAGGATATTGTCATGTTTCTATTGGTTCCATTTCAATTTCATACGTCAATTTGAAAAAAAAAATACAGGTTTCTGTAGGTACATAGCAAGTTTTATAAGCTGTTGATAGAGGGCAGCACTATCAAGAGGGCGTTCACAAAAAATAATTAGAACACAGATTTTAAACAAATTTTTTATTTTCTACTAGCAGTAGTAAAAAAAATTCTATATATTCCTCGGTAGAGAAAGTCATTATATACCTCAAGCATTATAAACCTCGGCGCTGCGCGCCTCGGTTTATAAAAGCTTTCGGTATATAATGACCAACTTCTCTACCTAGGTATATAATATACTATTATTTTTATGAAAAACAAACAAATTGATATGGAAATGCGGTACCAAATATAATCGAATAAAATTATCACTTTCTCCCGGATTTTAGCTTTCCAGTCTTTGCTGCTTATCTACTGACCTTTAAATTATAATTTTTCTTAAACACTACACACAACAACACTTTTGAACTTGCAAGATAGAAACAAGACTAATAAAGCTGAACTTTAGAGTACAAAACACGCACTTGGATAGGGTCTTTTGATTTCTTATTTCTAGCTGTTATCTTAAAATACTCGATTTCTCGAAAACTACACATAGTAACACTTTCAAATTTGTAGAGTAAAAAGGGGTTTAATAGAGCTAAAATTTAGTGTATCAAACATTTACTTGGAATGGGTCCTTCGATTTCTCTTTTTTGGCTGCTATCTTAAAATACACGATTTCTCGAAAACTACACATAGTAACACTTTCAAATTTGTAGAGTAGAAAGGGGTTCAATAAAGCTAAAATTTAGTGTATCAAACATTTACTTGGAATGGGTCCTTCGATTTTTCATTTCTGGCTGCTATCTTAAAATACTGGATTTCTCGAAAATTACACATAGTAACACTTTCAAATTTGTAGAGTAGAAAGGGGTTTAATAGAGCTAAAATTTAGTGTATCAAACATTTACTTGGAATGGGTCCTTCGATTTCTCATTTCTGGCTGCTATCTTAAAATACTCGATTTCTCGAAAACTACACATAGTAACACTTTCAAATTTGTAGAGTAGAAAGGGGTTTAATAAAGCTAAAATTTAGTGTATCAAACATTTACTTGGAATGGGTCCTTCGATTTCTCATTTCTGGCTGCTATCTTAAAATACTGGATTTCTCGAAAATTACACATAGTAACACTTTCAAATTTGTAGAGTAGAAAGGGGTTTAATAAAGCTAAAATTTAGTGTATTAAACATTTACTTGGAATGGGTCCTTCGATTTCTCATTTCTGGCTGCTATCTTAAAATACTCGATTTCTCAAAAACTACACATAGTAAGACTTTCAAATTTGTAGAGTAGAAAGGGGTTTAATAGAGCTAAAATTTAGTGTATCAAACATTTACTTGGAATGGGTCCTTCGATTTCTCATTTCTGGCTGCTATCTTAAAATACTCGATTTCTCGAAAACTACACATAGTAACACTTTCAAATTTGTAGGGTAGAAAGGGGTTAAATAAAGCTAAAATTTAGTGTATCAAATATTTACTTGGAATGGGTCCTTCGATTTCTCTTTTTTGGCTGCTATCTTAAAATACTCGATTTCTTGAAAACTACACATAGTAAAACTTTCAAATTTGTAGGGTAGAAAGGGGTTAAATAAAGCTAAAATTTAGTGTATCTATTTATTTAGTGTACTATGTGTAGTTTTCGAGAAATCCGGTATTTTAAGATAGCAGCCAGAAATGAGAAATCGAAGGACCCACTCCAAGTAAATGTTTGATACACTAAATTTTAGCTTTATTAAACTTCTTTCTACCCTACAAATTTGAAAGTGTTACTATGTGTAGTTTTCGCGAAATTGAGTATTTTAAGATAGCAGCCAGAAATGAGAAATCGAAGGACCCATTCCAAGTAAATGTTTGATACACTAGATTTTAGCTTTATTAAACCCCTTTGTACCTTCTACTGTAGTGTTGCTGATACTTTACAACAAAACTTGAAAAGTAATGTGGATCCTGGTTCTTATTTATTGGATGTTAAAATAAATGACACATTTGTACTGGAAACTACAAACGTATTAGAACTTAATGAAATCTTTAGAGGAATAAAAACAATAAATCCAGTGGGCACGATAATGTTTCAATAAATTTGCTTAGAAACTTGCCTGATAATGCATTATAGGTATGTCTTGTCTGAATGTATTAATATTTCATTTTTAACAGGAGTATTTCCAGACTGCCTGAAAAAAGCTATTGTGTTGCCTCTTTATAAGGGTGGCGAATTGGACAACCCATGTAATTATCGACCAATATCACTTCTCTCGACGTTGTCAAAAATAGTTGAAAAGTTAGTTAAAGAAAGAATGTTAAAATATTTTTCAAAACACAACATAATAAGTGACACTCAATTTGGATTCCAACCATTAAAGGGCACCCATGATGCAATGTTTAATCTTTTGGCACAGGTATTCGTCAGTCTTAATGAAAGTGAGCTTGTCGCCGTTGTGTTTTGTGATTTCTCTAAAGCCTTTGATTGCGTAAATCATAAAATAATGCTTAAAAAACTAGAAATGTATGGCTTCGGAGGAATCTCATACTCATGGTTTGAATCTTATTTCTCGGGGAGAGAA